GGGAGACAGGCGGGTGGGGGGGGCCCGCGACCCGACACTGGGTCACATGTACAGAATAAAATAAGTAAATACATGAATATATCATCTGAAGTTTCCGAAACTACTGCAGTATTTTAGGTTTTCACAGAGGAAACAGAACAAAAATAAGAACTAAACCTCTGGAGACTCTTTGTTTGTGTTTTTGTCGGGGGGGGGTTTGTTTTTTTTGAAGCATTAGAACAACGTTGCTGTCGCTCACACATCAAATGGATTATTTTGAGCCACGGTCTGGAAAATTGCTTTGAACATGAATAAGTGTGCTTCGCTTCATACACCTGAACTCGTTTCATCAGAACCTTCGGAGGTGAACGGCCCGCTGTATCCGGGATCCTGTGCCTTTTTTTCTCCCATTCTCCGCTGCGTCCTTCCAGGCAGCGTCAGTCCTGGACAGCATGTTAGGACCCGTTGTTAGGAAGGTAGCGGTATATCAGTCGGTGTATATTAAGTAAGAGTCCGTGTAACCACAGTCACACACGCTGTTAGGTCTGAAAAGTCATATCTGTCCATGTGTAACAATTAGGGAAATAAATCATTTTTATGACCAGTCTTTTTTCTTTTTTTTTTAAGGTTTGGTTTCAGGCAACGTCTCTGTCGTTGGTGTGGAACCCCAGGGTTCACCTCCTGGGCAAGATCGGATTCCGGTTAGGGCGGTTGGTACCTTCCAGTGGACTCACCACCCGCAGGAAGGTTTAGGGGGGGTTGGTATGGTGAAGTGTGATTTGTGTGGCGGTCGTGGAGACTGCTGCCCCCATGACCCGCTAATGGATTAGTGGACGAAGATGGATGGATGGGTTTCCTCACCTCGCTGTTAGTCTTTCATTTTGATTGACAATATATCCAATTGATATCAACATTTCTCACTCCCCCTTGTTTGCAGCAGGTGGCAGCGTATATAGTTTTTTTTTATAAAACTTTTTTTGGATCTTTCCTTTTTTTGAAATGGTATTTGCTGCTTGCTGTGTTCAGGTTTGTTTTGCTAGTGCGGTTTTGTTTGTTTTGTTGCCCTGGGACCTACTTCATGCGCGCTGGATTTGTAGATTAAATTCTTCAGGTAAATCCAACTGTTTTTTTTTTTGTTTTTAAGCTGGCCTAAGTGATCTGTAAGGGAGCTTCTTTCAGTGTCTTCAGGCAATCCGAAAATCTGGCCGTTATTTCGTCGAGATCTCGCTTCTTTTGTTTGTTTGTTTTTTCCTCATCTGGGGTGTCTGCTTTGTTAGTTTCGTTAGCAGGTCACTCGTCTCGGTGTTCCCGTCCTCCAGCTCCGCTCCGCACGTCGGTGTTAGAGTTACGCTCGTCTTCTGCTCTTGAAGTTCTCCGTGGTCTTCTATAAGCCTACACTCAGGGTTACGGAGTTCCTGCTTAACGTCCCGTATATCACTGTTGATGCTAGCCTATTCTTTTTTTTCTGTGGCGTCACTTTCGTCGGAGAAATCCCAGCTTCGGAAACCAATTTGGTGTCATTTTTATGTCGAGTTTCTCAAACTGAGTGGACTTGTTTGGTTGTTTTTTTTACCGTCCGGCATCTTGCAGGAAGTCCATCAAGGTTTTTGTTTTATGTCTATAGTTGTGTGTGTTCTTTTTTTAAATGCAAGGGCAATTCATAACAAAGTAAAAAATTACATTTTTAAGCGAAAATATTTTTGGAAACATTCATTTATTGATTTATGAATTATCAGAAACAATCAAAATCAAAACATCAAAATCAAATGAAAATACACCAAAGAGAGAAAACAAAACCATCATAAAGTTTGTTTTTGTCCAGCTCTGCTGGTACTTAATTGAATGATTTCAAAAACTATCACATCAAAGTTGCAAATGAAAATAATTAACACCGTTTTTTATCATTATTTCACATTTTCCAGAAAGTGATTACAGAAAAATCAGTGCAGTAGTAAATCAGAGTAAAGACCTAACAACACCCGAAGCCTTTGGTTATTTCTGTTTATATCAGTGCCCTGAGAGTCAGGAGGCCGACTGTCAGGAGACCGACTGTCAGAGTCGTCATGGAGGTCATCAGGCTGGGGGCGCCGCTTAGGATGCTACGCCGGACTGGAAGAGAGAAACGCAACGTAAGCTTTGTATCGTCTGCAAATGTAGATTTAAAAACTTGTTTTTTTGAGCGGGAATTTTAACCTCTGTGATTCTGAGACATTTGCAGTGGTCCAACTGAGAGGGAGGTGGCGCTGTCCAGAGATGCTTCCCTCCTCTCCCGTCTGTGGGGACCTGGGTAACA